TTAAAACAGACCAGTATTTTTTTAATTTAGAACTTTATACAAAAAATCCCTAGACGAATTTAATTTCGCCATAACTTCAAAACAAAACGTCCTATTTTAATCATTCATACACCGAATATTATCTACATAAACTGTACTTAGTGATGAATGAATTATCACTAAGTACAGTTATGTAGATTATTTATTCTGATAAAGATTAATAGCATGAGTGAAATTAACGCGTCTAAATGTAGTCCGAAAAAAATTCAAGATTTTTAAATAAAAAAAATTATTGTTGTGCCTACTCGAAGATAGGTATAGGTGTCGCGGACTCTTTTGAAGATATTTGTAAGATCTACAAATAATTAGAACATTTAATGGTTCTATATTTTATAGTTTACGCAGTGTACGCAAAATAAGTAACTTTTCTGGTTGATTTTTTACACCTTGTGTCCGAAAAACCCAAATATCTTACGGAACCCAATTTTTTTCCAAAATAAAATATAGCCTATGTTACTCGTGGATAATGTAGCTTTCAAATGGTGAAAGAATTTTTAAAATCTCGTCCAGTAGTTTTTGGGCCTATTCATTACAAACAAACAAACAAACAAAGTTTTCCTCTTTATAATATTAGTGTTAATGTATGAATGTTGTAAAAAAATATGTTGACATTGGAAATCATATGTATTTTTATTATTATGACGCAATATTAGCACGTTCACTGCGTAACAGGTCGATATCGGCCTACCGCGGTATTTCAACTGGTGCGGACGAAGAAAACTACATATGTCCTTCTTGCTAGTGCGAAACGATTATCTCAGGTGTTTATATAAATTGTCAGAGACAAATATATAGTTCATCTTGCGGTCAAAATTGTAGGTGTTTCCCATCAACAGGCTTTTATCGACCTACCACGCACTGACGAAGAAAAACATCCGCTGAGTGCGGGAACGGGCCTATTTCGGCCCGCCCTTCCAACAGGCAGCTTTCGACCCGATATCGCACAGAGCGCGCACAGTTAGTGTTGTGCTATCGAACTGATCTGACGTAACGTTCGATATAATCAACGAACGCAAGCAATAAAAGAAAAACACAAATTTTGGAAAATAGAGTAATTCGCCCTGCAGTTGTTGAAAGTTGTTTAGTTTCGCGAGTTCTGTGGTAAAACTCATAAATGGTTTATAAATCACACGGAATTAAGAAAAAAAAATAATTTTAGAAAATCAGGTCAAACCTAAGGACAATGATCATGTCCTTGAGATGAGCGCTAAACGAAGAAATTGTACAGGGTGCTAAGACAGACTGGGGAAAACCTTTAATAATACGTAAAAAAAAAGTTAAGGAAATAAAAAAATATTGCAGGCAATGCAACCAACAAAGTAAATAAAAACATTTTTCAGTTTTTTTACGATAATTCTGTTAGTTTCGATATCTCCTTATTTTTCTCTGCCTCATCACTACTAAAAATACTTTTTAGTGCGGTTCAGGTCGATATCTGTCTGCCGCTTTTCTTGGTTTATTTCTCATATCCTGTTTGGCAGATCCTGGGGCAAATCAAACCTAAGGAAGTTGGGTTCAAGGTCATTCTAACAATATAAAAAATAAATGTATAAATTGTGTTTCCAAAAAGCTATAGCAATTTAATCTATCCTAGTGCTGGTGGGTCTAGAAAAACCTGCCACGCACTGCCGGAAATATCATTGGGGGCGCATTTTGACCCGCCGCCGCACCAGATGAAGGATTATGATTTTACTTGCCGCAGTGAACGTGTTAGACACACTTTGTATTTTTTATAGGGTTTCAATTTGTTGGAATTTTGAATTTCAGTCTGTCAACTGACATGTCTTTATGCTTATAAATAAATTTATGGAATTATTTAGGTAACGTTAGAGTTGCAATCGCATCTAATGCTGGCCTAAAAAAGGGAATTTTCTTAACGTCTAATTAGCGATATCGTTTATACGATATCTTTCAAAAGAACGTCGCGAACGCAGTAGCTATTACAAGTCAATTAGTTGTAGTGTGAAGTTCGTGTATATATTTAAATTGTAGATTGTAAGGGATTGCGGTAGATTTTGAAATTAAGACAATTAGGTCTCAGGGTGGTTCTTATAATTTTATTAAAAATCCATGAAGATTATCTGTGGTGCATCAGTTGCATCGTAAATTAACGAAAATGCGTTTCTTTGGAATGAGGAAGTATTTAAAAAAACAGCATCAGTACCCGAAATCAAACCAGATGTCGCTACGGTACGTTCTTGATTTCTCCATGACAATCTTTCCGGTTTTCTTTCAAGTTTAAAGTAAATTTGTTTTCAAAACTGACTAAGCAACTCATATTCTATTTGTACTTTTTGCGTACTTGTATTGATATCCAAGTTTCTAACTTTCAAATTTCAGTTTTTTAATATGTTAGTTAAAAGGAACGGAAATGACTGTCCTTGGTCCGTTCGTTTCCTGCAAAAATCAACTTTTGCTAGAGTCGCCATCTAGTGGAGGTGTTTTTTTAGTGCTTTTTTTTAATACTTCCTCATTGTATTATCGTTTCGTAAATAGATGTAATTTCGTTTTCGGAGAAACAGAATAAGCCTTCTGCGGTCGCCTATCATTCTAGCCATAAGTCCAGCAATAGGATAGAACATCTTAGCGCTGTTATAACCACATTTTTCGTGTAACTACTTTGACATGTACTTTTTTCATGGCTTTGTTCCGTTATGCACAGAAATTCTGCCAACATCCATTAGTGAGGGAGACACGAGATTAACTTTTTAGTGCCCACAAATAAAACCTTATTTTAAAAAACATTCTTTTATTATAGTTTTGAAATATATTGGATGAACGATATCACTGAATTGACGTTCATTCAACTTGGCTTTAGACGCCATTTAAAAGGCGTCTTTGTAAGCTTTCGAGAAATGTGAAAGGAAAGACTTATGTTTTTGTTATGTTACTTGATCATTTAAATCGTCATTGACAAATCAAAACGATTGCAACTTTAAATGTTACATAATTCAGAAAATATTTATAATCGCTATAGCTATCGAGATTTTTTTTAGAAGCCTTTTTCTCTCTAATATTAATATTGATAAATTTATGTGGTATAAAGATGATAATTTTTCTTGTTTCTAGATTTCTATGTAGGTATTGAATTTTCGAACTTCATTTTAGTAATAAGAAAGTGTTATAAGATTATCGAAGCGCAGCTTTATTTCAATTTATTTATTTTTCAGATCTCCATGCGCTATTACCGTTGATAACGCAAAAAGGCGGACTACGGCAACAACATGGCGGCGGACGCCATGATTCGTCACTCGCCATTACCGAAGTATTGTAATGATGCGACAAAAGATGATTGTAACTGGACATTAGTTTATGACAAAGTTTTTTTTAACATAATTACGGTGAAGGATTTTTTTATTGATAAAAGTACAATAATTTTGTTGACTGTGATATTGTTTTTAGTTATTTATATCTTAAATAAGTGTTTTTGGAATCCGATACTATATACTAAGGTAAGCAACTTATATAAAGTAATAATATAATTAAAACAAATACATATATGTATACTTGAATATACCACTTTTATTTTTAATAGTTATACTGCCAGTTGCACAAACGTCCATTAAAAATTTCATTACTTTAAAGTGACATTACCCATACAAATTTGACATTCATTAGAGCTTTAAGGCGTCATTAAACCTTAATAGACGTTTGTGCAACTGACCGAGCCAGTTACAAAAACGTTTTATTTTCATTAGTTTAAAGCCACATTACTCATACAAATTTGACATTCATTAGTGCTTAAAGGCGTAATAAAACCTTAATAGACATTTCTGCAACTGACCGAATGACTTCTATGTATATTAAATGTGTATACTATAGAAGTCTTTGTATTATAAAGAGGAAATATTTGATTGTTTGTTTGAGTTGAATTAATTCGGAACTACTGGAGCTCGGTGGCGTAGAGGATAAGCGCCGCGGCCCAAAATCTTTGTTGTTAAGCAACTTTCGCAAAGGTTGGTCACGGGATGGGTGACCAAAAAATTATCATCTCAAACTACTTCGTGCTTTGGATGGCACGTTAAGCCGTTGATCCCGGCGGCATTTGTATTCGTTAACTTCCTCCAATCCGCATTTGGCCAGCGTGGAGGGTCATGGCCCATCCTCCTTAACCATCCATAAGGAAGGCTTGAGCCCCTGCAGTGGAGACGTAAATGATGATGATGGAACTACTGGACTGACTTTAAAAAATCTGTGATCTACGGAAATTACGTTATACACGGGTAATCGCATTTCTAACGAATATTTATTCATTAAAAGTTGCTCGAAAAGTACCTGACATGAACTTTCTTCCCCTATTTTATCCCCTTAGTGGTGAAATTTATCAAAAATATTTTCATTATTATTCTTACGTCATCGTTGCTTTATGCATGCAATTCTCATCCCATATTTTATCCCTTTGGGGTAGAATTGATCAATATCCTTTCTTAGAGGATGCCTACGTCATAATATATACCTGCATGCCAAAGTTCAGCCCGATCCGTTCATTGGTTTGGGCTGTGCGTTGATAGATCACTAGTCAGTCGGTCACCTTTCAGTTATATATATTTAGATGAACAATGCTTAAAAAACCTACCAGCCCCAGAGACCCCGAGATAGGACTCGAACCGACAATCTTTCGCAATCCTGGCGACTCCTGTAATCACTGAACTACCCGAGACCCCGCAGGACTGATAAATTCTTCAAGCACTTGATACTCTCCACAAATAGAGAGCATATTTTAAAAAAAAAATCGTTACTTATAAAAAATAATAATAAAACATATTTTTAAAAAAATCATATTTAAAAATTCGTACAGTTGAGTCTCGGGTAGCTTAATGTTAAGTCAGAGCAGTCGCCCGAATTGCGAGACGTTGTGAGTTTGAATCCCATCTCAGGGTGCCTCGGGCTGGTGGGATTATTAAGCTCTCAGTGGATATCTTATAATAACTACAGTTCCATATAAAATTTGTTGTTTCCAGGGCTTAACAGATCTTGGTTACGAACACATACCACCAGGACCTGATAGACAAACGCATATTGTAAGAGCGCAACGAGCAAGAAGATTAGGTGCAAAGACGCCACCCCCATTCCCGAATGGTTGGTTCGTTATTGCTGAAAGTCAGGACCTGAAGATTGGGGAGGTATTACCAGTAGATGCTTTAGGTGAGTACAGAGGTGGCCTAATATTGAAATCTATTGAAATAACGAACGAAGGATATCGTTAGTCTGACTTTAATACGGTATTTGTCAATATTAAAAATATATATGTCGCATCATCTTTACGAAGATCGTTTGATTTAGTTTCTTTTATTTTAATTGCTATTTACTTGATTACTTAATTACTCGATTGTAGAGAGGGCGTGATCATCGATACTTTTAATTTTATTATAATGGTGACACTGACTTTGACAGTTTGTTAACGAAAAGCAAGTTGCCGCCATTTTGACACACATTCTGTTTCCGAACGCCGAGGAGTAAAGACATCCGACGACATCACGCTCATCTCGTTATATTTTCGTATGAAAAGTGATAAAATGATACAAATCCACGTTGGTATACACGCCTGCAGTGTTATTTTAAAGAAAGTCCTCCGATATGGACGATCTATTTGGGCTTCGTAATAGCCCCTTCTGACTACCCGCCGATATATATTTAAAAATTGTGGTCATCCTATAAGATAAAAGCGTAATAAAGCATATTTCACACGTAATAACGTTGAATTTATGCAGCATACACAAAGTAAAATTCAATATTTTTGACATTTTATCTGAGACGAAAACGCCTTGTGAGTCGTTGTGCCTCCGACGTCACACGCTTGTAAATATGGCTTCTAACCCTGCGGTTTTGTAAAAATCTAAAACCGAATTCGAATTCACTCAGGTGTCTGAATTCACTTAAAAAATTATCCGCTCAACCTTGAAGTGGTGGTAACGTTTCGTGGCATATGTGAAGTGAGTTTCGAAATGACATAGGAATAGAATATCAGGTACACGTACACGGTTTTAAACCCATAGCAAATTCATCTGACATTCTATTCTTTTAATATTATTTCACTAATCGTGAAATAATAAATGTCAGGAGTAAAGAGTCTCATCTTATCGGGGTCCCTTCCAGCTGCCTTCAGCCACTGCACGTATATTCTAACTCACAGAAAACCGCTTGCGTTGTGTTTCGTCGTGTGAGTGAGGGTACCGGAGGCCCAACCCCTCCCTTTTCCCTTTCCCTCTACCCCTCAACCCTTTCCTCCCTATAATCACATTCGTCCCTCAAAGGCCGGCAGCGCGCTTGTAGCCCCTCTGGTGTTGCAGGTGTCCATGGGCGTCGGTAATCACTTACCATCAGGTGATCCGTCTGCTCGTCTGCCCCCTATCCCATAAAAAAAAAATCGAACAATTTTGTTTTGTATTTTCATACAAAAAATTGAATTAATAGAATTACTAAACTAAATGACGTGAGTTCGAATTCGGGTCTGGATTTTTACGGAATCGCAGGGCTGTTGACGACTTTAATATGATGAGGTTTGTTTGATTACTAGCATGTGACGTCATAACGCAGCGTAATGGCGGCGCGGCGTCACACAGACACAGCGTTTTTCTTTCGCGGTTCCGCAAATTTAAACTTTAATTTTGATTTTTATTCATAAATACAATTAATTTCCCCCAAATATTAATATAATGTGGTTCTAATTTAATAATCATTTAAATAATTTAAAAGTTACTTTCATAATTAGTCAAATACCCTATTTCAAACGTTAGACACAAAGATAACTCTGAAAGCTATTGCTTCTTTATCTATTAAGGGTTTGGGAGAGATTATGAACTTTGAAATGTCTACTGCATGGCGACATAAGGCAAATCAGGACCATGGCAGATTTAAAAACTGTGACTTTTGAGAAAAAATGTGCAAGACATTTATTAATACTTCGGTTTCAGACCTTATCGCACGTGCAATTCGCTTATTCACTGACATGGGACAAGCATTTCAACTCTTCTCTCATTATATTATATCACTTCAGATTTATATTTCTACAAAAAGTGTTATTCAATTAAGGAAATACATATTTTTAGGTAGTTGTAATATGGCTAGAGTATGCACGTTATTTATGCCGACTAAGCGGGAAAGTGAAATAACGAAAAAAAAAAGTTTGTCCCCTACACGTAAACTGAGAATGGTAATTCCTTTTTTCGTCTTCTATATAGGAGAGGACGTTTTTTGATTAAGTAAAAATTATGTGATTTATTAAGCTTTAAAGAGCTAATTTTCATTAGAGTCACGTGTCCTCCGTCCCTCTACCAACTTAACGGTCGTTAAAAATTCAAACGTTACGGCAGCAGCACGAAGTTAAAAGTAAAACTATCACACTTAAGTTGGCTTTATAAGTTTACGAGTAATAGTCGACTAATGAGGAAGTATTTAAAAAAAACAACATTAATTCCCGAAATCATACTAGATGTCGCTACGGTACTTTCTTGATTTCTCCGTGACAACCCTACCGGTTTTCTTTCATGTATAAAAGTAGAATAATTTTCAAAACTCAATAAACAACTCATATTCTATTTGTACTTTTTCGTACTAAGTTTTGAACTTTACAATTTTTTTTTATATGTTAGTTAAAAGGTAGTTATGTACACAAGAAAACATTACGATTCCTTCACAAAAAAAAGTAGTGTTCATAATCTTAACACAAGAAATAAAGATAAACTTGCCGTTCCAAGCTTCAGACTTCAAAAAACCAGAGGATCATTTCTGGGTAAATGTATTGCTATGTTCAATAAAGTTCCACAAAATGTAATTGACCTACCCATAAATAAATTTCAAATTCATGTAAAGAATATACTTATGAGTAAAGGCTATTATAAAGTTGATGATTACTTTAAGGATCGCAATGCATGGAATTAATAGCCTTCGCTTTGTTCTATAAAGACTAATTATATGTTCAACTTATGTCCTACAGACTTTGAAAGTTGTATTTACTATTGTGATAAATTGATAATACATATTATTTTGGTAATGACATGATTTATGTAAATGTCATTACTTATGATAAAAAGCTGATAAGTTTCTTTCGCTTGTTCTTCTTGTCAGCTAAAAGACGTCCTGAACAAGTGGTAGGGGAAAAAAGTCTTTTTTGGACGATTCAAAAGTGCTTGTAACAGCCTACTTGAATAAAGATATTTTCATTTCATTTCATTTCATTTCATTTCATTTTCATTTCATTTTCATTTCATTTTCATTTCATTTCATTTCATTTCAGTGAAATGACTCTCTTCGATCCATTCGTTTCCTGCAAAAATCAACTTTTACTAGAGTCGCCATCTAGTGGAGGTGCTTTTAAGTGCTTTCTTTTTTAAAATACTTCCTCATTGTATTTAACTCGCAAATTTCGAACGACTCCATAGAAAACAACAAAAATGATTTTATTTTACTTTAATGAATAATGTTACGGAACTCTTCGTGCGCTAATGTGACTCACATTTGGCCGATTTTTATTTATTACTTTAAATTCCCCCACGAAAACAGTTACGTGATTTCGAGCAGTGACGTCACATTTCAATGGTACATGAATACTATGGTCTAAAATTAAATTCTATCACAATCCCTTTCAAACGTATAGTGATTGTGAATTTATAGAGAATCATGTTTAAAATGATCAAGTAACATATTAAAAACTCTAATTAAAAGTGTCTAACACTGGCTTTGGACAATTTAATTAAAATCAGATTAACGATAAAGTTTATTAAAAAAAACTATTCGATACTTCTCATTCAATACCCAGTAGGAATCGATACGTTGTGCCGATGCGGTATCGAGTAAGGGCGCTTGTGCACTACACTGAATTTTCAGGTCCGGCGATCCGATTTTTTCCGGTCCGGAATGACATGAAAAACTCGGATGAGTAGCTTGTGCACTTGTCCGTTTTTTTCCTGATCGGAGCGGCGCAGTGTAGGGCAGCTCTCTTTGAAGCTACACGTCACTTACGCTATGTACGATGAGATTTTTGGAATGTCGGTAATTCCGTTCGAAGACGTAGAAAGGTACCTAAATAATGATCTGATCGTTTTACATAAATCATAATAAATTATGGCAAGACGAATGAAGCATTTTTTTTTACTACTATCGATGACTACTATCAGATGTAAAAACTTATACCCTTACTAATTTAGGAACAGCATTATTCACATACAATAGTTAAAAATATCTGTGACATTAGAATAAAATTACTGATAATGGTCTAGTACTTGATGTTTAAATTTTTAAACGTGCTATTTTTTTTCGAAGTTTTGTAAAAACAACTTTCAGCGATTACAGAGATAGACCAATCGGTGGCGCCATTTCGTAAACAAATCGAAATTAGTGCCGTGTTAGCGGAGAATTATTATGCTAAATGAACTTTACGAGATCAGTTGACTATATTATATATAGGCATAATTTTATACGCGTAGTGTAGTTTCTTTGAGCAGAAATATTATTCCCTTAGAATACTTATTTTTTTTAAATTCATTAATGACACAAACATACATTTAAAATTTTATTAAATGCGAAGAAGACATTGAGTGTCACTTAATTACTTTTGTTAATCTTCTGTTTATTCTTTATTATTACTTCTGTTGTCAAATATTTATCTATATTTATCAATTGTCTAAAAAAAACTGATAATGACAAATTTCCAGGCAAACTTTCATCCCCTATTTTTCGCGATAAAATGTAGCCTATGTCCTTTCTTAAAGTTAAGTCTATTTACTATATTAATTTCCATTTAGATGAGTTCAGTTGTTTAGGCGTCTAAGCGTAACAACACTTATTTATCTTACCTTAAGCTATCGATACTTTTAATACGATTCTAAAATCTAGCTAAGTATCGATACTAGAACCATACGCTGATCAAATTAGAACTATACCGAGCATATGCCAAAGCATATGCAGTGATATATACCAACTATATTAAATCATCATATAAAATATAGCATTTTATAATCAACAAAAAAGATTATAAGTTTATTGGAAATTAACAATATTGCCGAAATAAATATCGATTCAAATCGATTATTTTTTCCCAAGCCTATTTCTTATGAATTTTCCGGATCTCGGACGCAGCAGTGCACAAGCGTAAACACGTTTTTCATTGCCGCCATCACGGACCTGAAAAAACCGGTCCGGAATAGAGAAAAGTAAAATTCCGGACGGTAAAATTCCTGACAGTGCACAAGCGCGCATTACCTACATATGGCCTGACATATCGGACCTGAAAAAATCGGACCGCCGGACATGAAAATTCAGTGTAGTGCACAAGCGCCCTAAAAGTGTCGAAACCTAGGTGGTAACCTTGAGGAAGTATTTAAAGAAAAAAAAGAAAACACCTCACTAGATGGCGCCTCTAGCAAAAATTGTTTTTTTCAGGAAACGAATGGACCAAGACTGTAATTTGTAAAGTTCGAAACTTAGATATCAATACAAATACGAAAAAGTAAAATAGAAAATGACTTGTTAATTGAGTTTTGAAAATTAATTTACTTTTAAACATGAAATAAAACCGGACGGGTTGTCATGGAGAAATCAAGAACGTACCGTAGCGACATCTAGTTTGATTTCGGGAACTAATGTTTTTTTTTAATACTTCCTCATTGTTGTAGCTTATTGTCCGTTAGTTTAGTCCATCCGTGGATGGTTTATATAGCTTACAACCAGTTGCACAATCGTCCATTAAATATGTCATTAGTTTAAAGAGGCATTACCCATACAAATTTGACATTCATTAGATGTATAAAGCGTCATTACACCTTAACGGACCTTTGAGCAACTGACCCAAGGGACCTTAATATACTATCGATAATTTATATTTCGTTCTGCAGGTCAAAATCTATGTCTATACCGTGGAGACGATAATATACCTCGCTGTGTGGACGCCTACTGTCCTCATCTTGGCGCCAACCTGGCGGTAGGGGGCGCCGTGATTGGAAACTGTATAGAGTGCCCGTTTCATAAATGGAAGTTTGGTGAAGACGGAGCTTGTGTCAGCGTACCAGGGGTCGAAAAAGGTAAGCGGACACGGGTCCCAAATCTATTGGACTTACAGGGGTAATTTTTTTTTATCATGATATACATAGTTTTTAGCTCGATGGCGCAATTAACGCGTTCTTTCTGCCTTACTGATGCTAAGCAACTTCTGCAAGTCGTAGGATGGGTGACCGAAAATTTCCTTCCTTAAAAATTAAAATTAAAATCAAAAACCTACGGCCAACAGCAAGACGCGTGTATGTGAACACGTGCACGCGTACGCGCATGCGTGTGCGCACGTGAGTGTGTGTGTGTGTGTAAATATAAAGTTTTATTGTAGATATATCTAGAATAAATGTACCAGAATATGATGGCAAATTAGGAAATTTTAATTTGTATTATGGCCACATTGTGTTTAAAGGATAAAAACCTCTTGACATTTGTAATATTTTAATATTATAAAAACTTTTTATTAACTTCCTCATATCATTGAACTACTCTTTACCAAAAATAGCACTCGACCCGACAGAAAAACCCAATTATATTTTACTTGACATAGATAATTTACTTAGTGTATTTGTTTATTGCAAATCTCTACTAATATTGCAACAGCCTGTTACGCTTACACATCTAAACCAAATCGGATTCAATTTATTTTCTTTTTTTCTCCGTTCTTATTTTTCTCCGGAGGCATGAAACATGTCTTTGTACCTTCTCCTTCCCCAACAATTCGTATAAATTATATTTCTCGCCTGAGATATGACAATAAATTAAACTTTCACACAGTAAATTAATATTTTCACAAATTTTCACAACAATTTACACTTTGACTTGACATCTGACAATTTATTGCCATATGTAAATCAATTGTTTCTTTTGTCTTTGCGCCATCAGATTCTAGTACACATATAGTATCTTGTAGGTATACTAAAAAAATAAATACACCATCAATAAAACTACATATTTAGGTAGATATAAAACTACATACTGATTTCTTATATTTTCAAGCGCACTACTCATTATATAACGCTATTTTGAACGGGTGTAGCTCATTTATATTACATTTCATAACGTTTGGACAGGTTCCATGGTCACTTACTATATTTACTGTATTGTGATGTGACCCCAGATAGCAATTTAAACTTGTTTCTGACTTGCAACAAGTTTGATACATCAAAAAAGAAGACTTGCTTCAAGTTTGCCACCACAATAATATTGCATCGACATTGTCACAAACTTACCTCGTATATTTGACGCAGCAATTTAGAATCAAAGAAAAATCAAACTTCCCCAAGTTAGCATGCTATCTGGAACACTTGTCTTAGTGAACAAGGAACCTTGTCTTAAGTGAACACTTAAAGGGTCCGAAACGTCATTAAATCAATTATAAACGAGCTACAGCCGTTCAAAATAGTTTTATTTAATACTAGCTGTTCTCCCGCGATTTCGCACGCGTTTTTTATAGCCTATGTCAACCGCGTATAATGTAGCTACCGGTACATGAGTTTTTAAAATTGGGGGCCTATTCGATGCAAACAAACATTAGTAAAGAAAACTACATTATTATCTTTAAATACTCAGTTATATTGTGTATCCACATTGCTATTGCAAACAGTGCTATTAATAATCAAAGTTAAGCGTCAGAGTAAATTTTCGCTAAAATTGCAATTTCAGTTTTAGTCCAAATTCATATTACACAGAGAATAAGCAAACCTACTACCTTCTAGGAGTAAATATTACTTACGTAGAACCTCGGACTAGGTTAACCTTTGCCAAGTCTCTGTTTAATAATATGAATTTTGATGAATATAATAACACTGTTACAGTGTGATTAATAAACAAGGTTTAGCTTCGGAGTAAATTTACGCTGAGACTGCACTTAGTATTAGTCAAAATTCATATTATTAAACAGAGACTTGGCAAAGGTTTACCTAGTACGAGGTTCTACGGGAGTAATATATACTCCTAGAAGGTAGTAGGTTTGCTTATTCTCTGTATAATATGAATATGGACTAAAACTAAAATTGCAATTTTAGCGTAAATTTACTCTGACGCTAAACCTTTTTATAAGTAGCATTGTATGTGTTTAAGTATTACATCTTGTCTGCCAAAAAGAACGCCCTTTATTTATTAGCGTTGATAAATACCGAATGCTCCAAGCAGCACCTCGAGGAGTGGGTATAAAGACCTGGCCGGTGGTGGAAGCTGATGGTGCCGTTTGGATATGGCATGATTGCGAAGGCCGTCAACCTTTGTGGACAATAGAGGACGCTCCTGAGTTGCAAAACTGGGGTTACCGGGGCAGGAATGTGTTTGAAGTTAACGCTCATATACAGGTACTAGCTTTCCGCCTGCGGCTTCGCCCACGTGGTCTTGTATTATACATAAAAACCTTCATTTTGAATCACCCTATCTATGAAAAAAACCGCATCAAAATCCGTTGCGTAGTTTTAAAGATTTAAGCAAACATACGGATATAGGGACAGAGGAAGCGACTTTGTTTTATACTATGTAGTGATTATAAACGAGAAGCTCGTGAAAAAAGTATATAAGTAAAACTTTTTCTTTTTTTTTTTAATAGAACCGTCTTCAATCATTTAAAAAGTAAGAAATAACACTTTTTAAAAAGAAGCGATTGAAGCGGTAAAATTGGATTTGTAATGAATTATTATCATTTGAAAGTTATTGGTTTATGTATTGTACACGCCATTTTAAATATTTGATCAGGAAATACCGGAAAATGGCGCCGACGTGGCACATCTGAATGCAGTCCACTCGCCATCTTTACTGTCCACTTTGGGTGAAAAATATCCGTTCCTTCTCAATATCATAGGTGAGTAAGAAAATTTTAGCTCCTAATGCCAATAGAGATGACGACTGGGTAAAAAAAAATCTGTTTAGTCTGTCGATCAGATAATCGAAAAATATTAGATACATATTTTTTATAACACCATAAAACTGCAATATTCTTACAAAAAAATAGAGAATAGTAATAAAGCTGAAATTATTTTTATTTGACAGCCCTGTAACTTATACAATTCAGGTATTAGAAACATGTTTGCAGTTTTAAACTAACTTGCCAAATAAAGTTGTCAATTATTATAAAACATGTTCACTTAGAATGATTACATTTTAAATCGATCGCATAATGTAAGCCGACTCCGTGTGCAAGTTCGGTGTTCCTTTCTGCTGTTTAAAACTCTTTAAAACGACAAAAAGTTTTTTATTTCCTGTAATAATGTGTCTATTGGATTTAAAACAATGGGCATTGATTACATTATTTATAAATCCCAAGTTTATAAAGTATTAGTACATTTATAAATAAAACATTGATTTTTCATTGGTTTTTGACATGATTTTTCACATGACATGTTCCTTGTAATCTTAAGACTGTACATTAAATTACAAAGATTAGGTAATTTTGAAAACACTACAATACAATTGAATTGCCGAATTATATTAGAATTTCATAAAGCAGTATCTCGAAATCGAAAAAATATATAAATGTTATCTAGTTTATAAGGGATGTTTATATCTGCCTGTCACTGGTTGCTAAGCAACGCTTTGTTAGTAAACATTCTTCATCGAATTTGGCTGTAGTATAGGTAGTTATTCTTATATTTGCACGCGCACTACTCATTAAATAAAACTATTTGAACGGAAGTGTTGCATTTATATTTGATTTCATGACATTTCGTACCCTTACAGGTTCGTGTTACATTAGTTTGTCTATTTATAATTACGTTATATTTAGCCGTAATTGTGACTATAGACCACATGCGTCTCAAAATCAAGAAGTTCGAGAAGACCGCCAAAACGGCAAAACTTTTTAAATTATTTTGTTGCTATGCAAAGGAATTTGTGTTCATTCTGCATTGAACACACAGAACCTAATGAAATCAAATATAAACGCTCTACAGCCGTTCAAAATACTATTATTTGATACTAGCTGTTTTCCCGCGACTTCTCATGCGTAAATTATAGCCTATGTCGACCGCTTATGATGTAGATACCCGTAGGTGAAAGAATTTTAAAAATTATTATTAAAAACTATTCGATTCAAACAAAAAAACTTACAAAGAATCAGATCTTACCTCTTTATAATATTAGTATAGATTTTTTTATGATGCGACATATAAATCGATTGAAGAAATAATATTTTAAAGCGAATTCATAATCTAATGGTCACTTTTTAATTAAACTTCTCTGTATGAAATAAAACAGATATAAAAAAGATATAGATCAAACAGCAAAGAGTAAAAGTATATATTAGGGAAAGGAGAGCCCTCTCTCCAATACAGGTTTAACGGGATTTCCGTTAGATGGCGTGACTGTGTCAGTACGATGTAGGTCATGTCAATATCTTATATTTATATGATATCTTATACAATATCTTATACTTGTATTTATATGATATAACATATGACTAAATTAATTTTTCACTAAGAAATTTTAAATAATTAAATGAAACATAGTTAGATGGAGTTATAAAATAATTAATTCAATATCACTAGTATTATTTCACAATCATATTTTCTTCTTTCTGTTCTTCAATCAAACTGTGCAGTTTTCAACGCTTTTCCATAGTTTCTTCATAACAAACAAGACTTCAACATTTTCGCACCAAGTATTACAATCACAAAAAGGAAGTATTTAAAAAAACGAATGGACCAAAGACAGTCATTTTCGTTCCTTTTAACTAACATATAAAAAAATTGTAATTTGAAAAGTTCGAGACTTAGATATCAATAAAAATACGAAAAAGTACAAATAGATTATGAGTTGTTTGTTGAGTTTTGAAAACTAATTTACTTTAAAACACGAAAGAAAACCGGAAGGGTTGTCATGGAGAAATCAAGAACGTACCGTAGCGACATCTAGTTTGATTTCGGGAACTAATGTTGTTTTTTTTAATACTTCCTCATTGTCTTTCCATAGGGCTTGTATTTTTTTCCAATAGTTTTTTCTTCTAAAACTTATATTATCAAAAATAGACTATAGACGAGATCAAAATATATTCTAGATGTCTACATTGAAGTCAACAATTGTGTTACTAAGCAACTTCAAAACCCCTGTTTGGTTGCTTAGCTACGTTACAGTTTACAGGGTATACCGTTAGATGGCGCTAGTAAAAATGTCAGCTGTCACTTGTAAGGGAATGTCCTACACTTTGATCTTAGTCAAAAGGCCGAGAAGCGATGTGTCCCATCCCTGAGATACAATTATCACTTTTAACACAGGATACAATTTCTCTATGATTAATTTGCCACAGACCTAGTCATACATAGACAGTGTTTGTTAATCTATGCTTTGATATTACAACAGGTACTCATATATGGGCAGCCGAGTGGAACAAAGGTGAAGATCACACGGCGAGTCTAAACCTAACACACGACTACAAGATGATGAAGCATAACGTATTCCACGTCGACGCTAAAGTAACACAGGTGAGACGTTAGTAAACTAACCAAGCAACATTCGCAAAGGCCGGCCGTGGGATGGGTGACCAGAAATTTACTATCTCGACCTCCTCCGTGCTCAGGCACGTTAAGTTAACACCCAGTAATCCAGTTAGGCCCATTCTCCTCGTTCGATTTTATTCGGTTACTTGAGCCTCGGAATTGTTTTCCAGATAGGTCCCGGCCACGTCCGTTTACTTCTGTCTACCAGTTTCGGTCCGCTGCTCGTCTCTCAGTCGGTGACTCCGTTGGGTCCACTGGTCCAAAGAGTGGTACATAGAGTGTACTCGCCGTGGTACAACGCCCCGTTCGCCGCTATGATGGTGAAAATAGAAGCTTATATGGTGAGTACTCGCATTATGTTTAGTTTTGAATATATAAAATAGATGGCGGTAGTGATCTAAGATGAGCAAATTTTTTAAAAATAAAAATATCATAATAATCTGGGGTCACAGAAGTGTGCCCGCCAAGACGAGCTAAACGCAACTAACTTACTTATCTTAATGTGCTTATTTCTTTTCTTAAACCATCATAACTTAAGTTTAGGTAATAACCAGATAAACAATATTTTTAGGACACGATTTCAATAGTGCATTTATTACACACATAATTCATTTGAATAGCTCTTATAGTTTGAAAATTATTGATATTAAAAAAACCCAATTTGTTCCTTAACTTGTCCACGCACTGTTGATTATCAAAATACTTCTGGAAGTATCCTAAATATTTAGATGGCCGTTTCGTTTCTACAAAAACACAATATTATTAAAAAGTGGTGATAGTAGAACGGCCAAGCCACGAGTTTTTAATACGCAATACAGAACTGCGAAAGGTGGAGGGTTCGAATACCATTTACCAATGAGAAAGTGAATTTTTAAGCAGTTTTCATTAAAAATATTTTCCAGTATAGCATTATGAATGCAAATTGATCAAATACCTATAATAAACAGGGTACAGAGTTTGTGAAGAATACTTATAGAGTTAGAAGCTTGGCTCTACATGAGATGTGATACTTTTGACTGAGCGAATCATATGGTCTTGGCAAAATTTTACATATAAAGAATGTTTTTGATGGGATACAACATAACTTTATTGACTTCGATTTTCTTTTCCAATCAAAATCAGACAATGGAATATAGTCGGGCGGAGTTTTTCAGTAGGTTATTAATTATATTATAAGCGCCGGACTTCAATAGCATTTTCTTTAATAAGTCGCTTATGAAATAAGTATTATGTATCACTTTTTTAAAGTTTTAAGTCCGGCTCTACTTTTTACCCGACTGCGCGACGCAAAGGAGGGTAATGTGTTTATCAGTCTATGTATGTATGTATGTTTGTTTCTATGTGGCGTTCTAGAGACCAAATGCGTGGGCCGATTCAAAAAAAAACGAATTTAAAAAAATGCATGAAAAAATTAACTTAGATAAAAACTAAAAAGAATGAAACAAGCCCAGCAGTTTAGAATTCTGTTAAGTAATACAGAACAGAACGACTCATAGTCGGGGCCCCTTGGGAAGATTCGATTGGTAAAATTTGAATCGGCCCCGACTATTGTTTCTTTCTTTTTAGTTTTTATTTAAGTTATTATAAAAAGTTTTTATTTCATGATTTTTAGTGATATTAATATAATACCTTCAATAGGTAACTAAAGATATTAATTGTCTATGTAAATAAAATTATTAAACATTATTAGAGTCATAGAATAGATTTTGTTTATCTGATGGACATAATTTTTGCAATAATCTATATTCATATTTAGAAGAGGAAAGACTTGATTGCTTGTTTTTTTTCATTGAACAGGCCCTGAAACTATTTGATGTATTTATAAGTCTTTCATCAGCGGGAAACTACAAAATACGCTATCATTTACGCAGGCCAAGTCACGAGGAAAAAGAATTTTGAAAATGGCTCAGCCAGCCTGTTAGAGGGAGATTAAACAGCAGTTTCTATGAAACAATAACGTTTTATTATATAAGTATATATATTAATATTTTAATTTAATGACAACACAAATCGACAGACGTTTTCAATTCAAAGCTACACTATGGTATTAGCGATGATCTACGGAGGTCGAATATCGTGCCTTGCTGGCTGACTACCAACACATCCAGAAAACAATTGACCATTTGTATCTGGCTCTTTTTGGTATCATTAAAAAGTTCTTCTTCTTCTCTTATTAATGGCTTATCTGCGCATTTCGCACTACGGAGGTCGAATATCGTGCCTTGCTGGCTGACTACCAACACATCCAGAAAACAATTGACCATTTGTATCTGGCTCTTTTTGGTATCATTAAAAAGTTTGAATTTTAACGAAGAAAACTCCGAATTCAAATTAGGAAAATGTGTGATTTTGGGTTTTGCTACAGTCAAAATGAGTGAATCTAATTAAGAAATTCGATACATTTTAAAATTTTATTACCTTAAAAGGTAAAAATGCAACGCATGCCGTGAAAAAAAATTGTGCCGTTTATGGACCTAGTGCAGTTTCTGTGAGAGTAGCACAAATTTGGCTTAAGCGTTTTCAGTTCGGAAATTTTGATGTCATAGATGCACGTCGCTCCGGTCGCTCTGTTTCGGATAAAATGGATGCCATTTTTGAAAGAGTAGAGCAAGATTGGCATATGCATAGTTACGACATAGCTGAAGAAACTGAGTAGCTCGGTGGCGTAGTGGATATGCACCGCGGCTCGCGATCGTAGTCGTTAAGCAACTTTCGCAAAGTTCGGATGGGTGACCAAAAAATTATTATCTCGAGCTATTCCGTGCTTCGGAAGGCAGGTTAAGCCGTTGGTCCCGGCTGCATTTGTAGTCATTTATACCCGCCAATCCGCATTGGGCCAGCGTGGAGGGTCATGGCCTGAGCTCCTGCAGTGGGGACGAAATAAAGGGCTGATGATGATGATGATGATGATGACGATGAAGTACTGGGTATTGACCACAAAAAGCTTTGGCGCATTTGAAAAAAGGCTGGTTATTTGGATACCTCACTAGCTCACTCAGAGAAACCTAACGAACCGTGTACTCAATTGTGAATATCTATTACGCCGTAATGAAACCGAACCTTTTTGAAGAAGCCGATAACTGGTGATGAAAAGTGGATCACCTACGACAAGAACGTGCGAAAAAGATCGTGGTCAAAAGCCAGCCAGGCTTCACAGGCTGTGGTAAAACCTAGTTTAAATCGCAACAAGGTGACACTTTGTGTATAGTGGAATTGGAAGGGCATTATTCATTATGACCTGTTATTACCGGCAGGACCATAGATACTGAACAATACTGTGAACAACTGATGAGATTAAAGCAAGAAGTTGAGTGAAAAAGGTCAGAGTTAATGAATAGAAGGGTAGTTTTTCATCGTAATAACGCTAGACCCCACACATCTTTTGCCACTCAGCAAATATTAAGAGAGTTTGCTTGGGAGGCGTACAGTCCTGTCCTTGCGCCTTCAGATTTCCACCTGTTTCGGTCTCTTCAGAATTTTTAGGCAGTGTCAGGTTAATATCACGTGCCACTGCCAAAACCACTTGTCGTAGTTTTTTGATCAGAAGCCTCAAAGTTTCTATAGCAATGAGATCATGTCTCTACTTATAAGATAGTAAAAATTTATCGAACAAAAGGTATCTACATACTTTAGTTAAATGTAAATAAACTTAATTAAAAAAATATTTGAATTTTCATATAAAATGCGAAGAAACTTTTCCCAAACCTATAATATAAAAAAAAAACATTTACATTATTTTTTTTTTGTGTTGCGACGCTAAAAGTATAAGGAAGTATTTTAAAAAAACGATAGCACTAAAAAAGCACCTCCACTAGATGGCGACCCTAGCAAAAGTTAATTTTGCAGGAAACGAATGGACCAATGTTAGTTAAAAACTGACATTTGCAAAGTTCGAAACTTAGATGTCAATACAAATGAGAAAAAGTACATATAGAATATGAGTTATTTATTGAGTTTTGAAAACTAATTAACTTATAGACATGAAAGAAAATCAAAAGGGTCGTCATTGAGAAATCAAGAATGTACCATAGCGACATCTAGTTTGATTTCGGGAACTAATGTTTTTTTTTTAAATACTTCCTCATTGACGGCGCTTATCCATTACGCCATTAACCCATTAACGCCCAAATAAAATCCTACAAAAATTTTAGTGAACCAGTTCTTAATATTGTTTTCAAATCATCTATTATTTGATATTACAAAGAAAAAATAATAAAAAAATAATTATAAGATGTACTTTTAGAGGTGTACTAAGTTTAGTACAATGGGCGCATATGGGGATACCGAAAAAAGTATATCCTATCGAAACACGATATTCTTTGTCACTTTTCCAACGCTCTTTTGATTTTGTTGGAACATAGGACACAGTCATTAGTATTTTTTAAGAATAATGAACATTGTTTTCCCTAACTTGTTTTCCAGTTTTCTTATTTACAGCCAAAACAATACGAAGTGTAAATAAGAAAACTGGAAAACTGATTATGATGACCACTCTATTATTATATGATATGAAAATTTCTAGTTCATGGGATATTACATAGTAATGTCAATCCTGAATATTATACAGATCAGCTGGTATTGCGAGACATAAAACACGCACATATTTGAGTAACATAAGGCAATACATTCTGAAAAGTAGATGTACTGTGAATTACAACATCTATGCACATTTTTCATCTGTAACAACATCTGGATTGGGAAGCAGCATAATCATTACTATCATTATCATTACTATCTCAACTGATGGTGTTATTCATAGTAAAACTACTTTTTTTTCGTAAAAGTACGTCGAATAGCCATTTTATAATTTCTAGATACCTAGTTTCCTCTTATCGTCTGATAACGATGCCACTTAAAGGTTCGTTATTGAGATATTATGAGTAATATAACGACAAAAAAACTTGAAAACACGATTATAAACTGTTGCACTGTACTGTCTCACGTTACATGTCAAGTGCCCATTGTACTAAACTTAGTACAGCAGCACTTAACATGTTATAGCTTGTAACACTTTTTAAAAACTTTGTTTTTCTACGTGTTTTACAAACAAATAGTATATTATTGAGTTAAAACTAAATCTTTTTAATAAATTTCAATGGTCATTTTTTTACAAAATGAGAAATAAATACTCACCGACATATATAAAAAAATCACTGGCACAAAATGCTCACTACTGTCAGATTATTAAGTGATTGAATCATGATTTTGCTATATACTTACTGCGAGACTTTCGATTGAAAGGTTGAAGGGGTTAGCAAAATGAAAAAAGTAATTTAATAACTTTAATCTCAACTTAAATTACTGTACTTCTTATAGTACGGCGGGCGTTAATGGGTTAATATATTTAAAAATATATCTGTAGTTTATAGAACCTCATCTTTTGCGATTTTGAAGTCTGTTTATAAACTTTTTCCATTTTTTTTTTCAGTTCGAACGAGACGTCGCCATATGGAATAGAAAAGTATTCGTTTCAGCTCCATCCTACGTACGGACAGACAAGACTATACGTGCGTTTCGTTCGTGGTTCGCACAATTCTACAGCGAGAACAGTAAAAGTTTCAGAGATGCAATACAGAACCCTCTGGACTGGTGATAAAGATACGTTTTGTGTAAATAAATTATTAACATAATATAAAGTTTTTTATTTAACGAATAACCCGATAATTTTGTGAAGTTACAATGAGGAAGTATTTAAAAAAAGAAAGCACTAAAAAGCACCACCACTAGATGGCGACTCTAGCAAAAGTTGCTTTTTGCAGGAAACGAATGGACTAAAGACAGTCATTTCTGTTCCTTTAAACTAACATATTATAAAACTGAAATATGCAAAGTTCGAAACTTAGATATCAATACAAATACGAAAAGGTACAAATAGAATATGAGTTTTTTATTGAGCTCTGAGTAACTAATTTACTTTTAAACTTGAAAGAAAACCGAAAAGGTTGTCATGGAGAAATCAAGACCGTACCGTAGCGACATCTAGTTTGAGTTCGGGAACTAATGTTTTTTTTTAAATACTTCCTTATACCAGTGCAGTAGGTTGTGATGACATAAGTCGAAAGATGGTCCTTCCCATCATAGATTTTCTGGCTCCTGTTATTACTTTTACCCTAAACATTTTCTGTATTAATTGGATTTCCTATATGTCTATTGCATATCCAGATATATCTATTAACTCATTCGTCTTGTACACTCCTCATCTATTTATTTATATATTTTTTTCGTCATGGGTTGTCTGGTGCTTTTGTCTATTTTCTGGCTTCTTATAATATATCCGATGTAGTGTGATAAAAGAATAACTTTATTATTTGGGGGTTTGAACGTACACCATTCCTCTTCTCCCGCTTTAACTAAGTTCATTCGAGTTTCGATGTACGGGAATGATCGATCTAGCAATTGAAGTGAAAGACTTAGGACTCTGGTTATTATAATTATAATTCTGAAAGACTTAGGACTCTGGTTATTAGATTAGACTACTTTTACGCCTTTGCTCACTGAAGTATTTAAAGATAACACCTCCATCTTAGTTTACGTCTCTATTACCTTTGCAGTTTTACTTACCTTAAAGTTAAAGTTAGAAAAAAAAACACATCATTATTTTCATTGTAAAAATAAAAAAAAAATTTAATATCTTTAAAAAAAGATAGTTACAAATTTTCCTAAACACAATTTACATTTTAAAAATTAATTAGTCACGGCTTTATACTCCATATAGTCAATGAATCCATCATTATTTTTGTCCGCCTGTCTCAATGCCCCTTCCACGATTTCAGTTAAATCATGATCTTGGTATACGACGCCGGTATTCAATGTCTGCCCGTGTTCATCTGTGAAATCAGATAAAATAAATAAATACTATGCTGCCATGAGTATAACCTGCGAGACGGACTCGCGCATGAACGGTTCGCGCCATTATTAATCTATGGAAAAGCTGCAAAAAATCACCTCTGTTGATATAACGGCTACATAATGAGGAAGTATTAAAAAAAAAGGAAACCACTAAAAAATCACCTCCACTAGATGGCGCCTTTAGCAAAAGTTGATTTTTGCAGGAAACGAATAGACCAAAGACAGTCATTTCTGTTCCTTTTAACTAACATATTTAAAAACTGAAATTTGAAAAGTTCGAAACTTAGATATCAATAAAAATACGAAAAAATACAAATAGAATTTGAGTTATTCATTAAGTTTTGAAAACTAATTTACTTTTAAACTTTAAAGAAAACCGGAAATGTTGTCATGGCGAAATCAAGAACGTACCGTAGCGACATCTAGTTTGATTTTGGGAACTAATGTTTTTTTTTAAATACTTCCTCATTTCAGTGTAGTAGGTTGTGATTCCATAAATCGAAAGATTCTGGCTTCTGTAATTACATTTACCCTATACATTTTCACTATTAATTGGATAACCTATATTTCTATGCTTATCCAGATATGTCTATTAATTCATTCGTCTTGCCCTCCCCCCCTACCTGTTTATTTATATATTTTTCTTTGCTCATGGGTTGTGTGGTGCCTTTTATCTATTTTCTTTTTTCTGGCTTCTTGTAAAATATCCGATGTAGTGTGCAAAAAGAATATATTTGGGGGTTTGAACGTACACAGTTCCATTTCTCCCGCTTTAATTAAGTTCATTCTAGTTTCGACGTACGGGAATGATCGATCTAGCAATTGAAGTGAAAGACTTAGGACTCTGGTTGCTTTAAAGTAGGCAACTTTTTTAGAATCTCCTCTATAGAGATTGGCTGTCCCAGCTTAGCGACGCCCTTGCTCACTGAAGTATTTAAAGATAACACCTCCATCTTAGTTAACGTCTCTATTTCCTTTGCAGTTTTACTTACCTTAAAGTTCAAGTTTGAAAAAAAACACATCATTATTTTCATTGTAAAAATAAAAAAATAATAATTTAATATCTTTAAAAAAAGAAAGTTACATATTTTCCTAAACACAATTTACATTTTAAAAATTAATTAGTCACGGCTTTATACTCCATATAGTCAATGAAACCATCATTATTTTTGTCCGCCTGTCTCAATGCCCCTTCCACGACTTCAGTTAAATCATGGTCGTGGTATACGCCGCCGGTATCCAGTGTCTTTCCATGTTCATCTGTGAAATTAGATAAAATAAATAAATACCTTGCTACCACGAGTATAACCTGCGAGACGGACTCACGCATGAAGGGATCCGCACGATTATTATCTATGGAAAACCTTCAAAAAATCATCTCTGTTGATATAACGGCTACATAATGGGAAAGTATTAAAAAAAAAGAAAGCACTAAAAAGCACTTGCACTAGATGGCGACTCTAGCAAAAGTTGATTTTTGCAGGAAACGAATGGACCAAAGACAGTTATTTCCGTTCCTTTTAACTAACTTATTAAAAAACAGAAATTTGAAAAGTTCGAAACTTAGATATCAATACAAATACGAAAAAGTACAAATAGAATTTTAGTTGTTTATTGAGTTTTGAAAACTAATTTACTTTTAAACTTTCAAGAAAACCGGAAAGGTTGTCATGAAGTAATCAAGAACGTACCGTAGCGACATCTAGTTTGATTTTGGTAACTAATGTTTTTTTTAAATACTTCCTCATTACCATATGTGTAAAGAACAATGGCCATCTGCCTAACATGCTTGGACTAGTAAAATCGAATAAAACGTAACTTGATGAAACATATATTATTTCGTTTGCCTATGCAACTAGAACAAAGAAAGACATTAAATATATTTTTAAAAGCTGGGAGTATCGAGTAATTGTGTAATATGTTTTTGAGGTTATGTCGTATTATTTAAACTGTAGCATTTTGAGTTAGAGGTATTACAGTTGAAATATGTAAAGCACACGTCAGATAAAGCCTAATCGTAGTCCTAAAAGTGCGTACTTTCCCATAATACTTCAAACTTGCTCCATATCTGATAAATTATTTTTATTGACTGTAAGAAATAAAATCATTTTTTGTCAACCAATGAACATAAAAAAAATAGACTAGAATTTTTAAGATTGCTCAAAATAACTCTACTTTTCTATCTTACACTATAACTTATATAAAGTAGAAGTGAAAATACTAATTTCAAAAGGATATAGCAAAACAACATGTTGATTTTTCTATTCTTTATTACAACTCTAATGAATACCTCATTACGGAATCCTGCAGGAGCAGCTACATTCTGTTCGTATCTGGCCCATCCAAGATACCAAACTATGGTCATTATATGAGCACAGCATCCCGGTGTAGATCGACCAATAAGACAATTACAGCAGTGTTCTCTTATGCCATCTAACCCGGATGTGTCATTATTCTTTAAAATGTACACATAATATTGTTTCCCCCCAATGTCTCGACTTAATTCTACTCCTTTTTATTAGGACTTTATTTATATTTAAGTCTAATTCTAATAAATCCAGAAAATCCGGTATTTCTCTCCAGACCTCAATTCTATACTGCCCATGGAACCTAGTATGCTCCCCATAATACAGAAGATAATACAAAATCACCGCCAAAGTTACAAAACGGTCTGCGTAGAAACACGTCTACACATATTTGTCGAAAAAAGGGAAGTCGCAATCGATTGAATACTGTAATAACGATTCTTATTAATAATCATTTGTTTTTATTTTCATTATAAATAAACTATTTTCCTCTAAGTAACATCTATGATATTACTAATCTAATCTAAGTTTTATAATTTTCACGGCTTTATATGGTTAGTAAATAATATAAGATTTGTAACAAATTCGATTAGTCAGAAATGAAATCGATGTTGTTCTTTGAAAAAGAGGGACTTCTCTAGGAATGACATTATTAATAAGATACGTTCAAAAATAACATAATTTAAACTGCGTTCTAAAAAAATAAAGACATATTTTAGAGAGGATTATCTTTCTTTTCCCAGCTTTTAAAAATAAATTGTTGGTATATAATAATTACATTCAACTTATACTACATTTTGGTGATAGTTCCATCTTGGTACAAGAACTTTTTTTTTCGTAGTCCATTTTGACCATTGTTCTTTCATCTGTATAACTATCACTGGTGACAGACGGACGGACGAATGAACGCCAGAGTCTTAATAATACAGTAATAGTAAAGGGGTATCGAACTATTGGCTTCTTTCGTGGTTTAATTAGGGAAATAAAAATAGTCTGTATGTTAATCGAGGCTTAAAATTACTAATTTCATCAAAATCCGTTAGGTAGTTTTTGCTTGAAAGAGTGACACACATAGTACATACATTCTCACAAACATTTTATAATAAGTATTCGTAAGATTTGTTATAAGTGCACAATTATATTTTCTTGTGTTAATACTAGAAGCATACATTATATTTACGAACAAAAATATTTTTTTGAAATTTCGTATTTAAATACATATTAAAATGGAATAAATCTAATTTTCACCAACATTTCCATATAAATATTAATAATAGAACTGAAAATTCTATTGGGTGTTTATCTCAAATGCAATGCATATGTAGGAGCTAAACAACGCGTTTAACCTAAGATTAAGCTATTTTTATAAAATTATACTTTTACTAATTAAATTTTCAAATTCCATAATTAGTAAAAAAATTGTTGATAAAAATTATTTTGTTGATAAAGTATCCTTTGTAATTTAGAGCAATAAAATTTCATTTATTGGATTAAACAACTTTTAAAACTTAAACTGGCTTAATTTGTGTTAGCATGTGTAAATCAATAAAAATGTAATACAAGCGCCATCTTTTTTTATTAAAACCAACTTTTGTGGCTTAAATTAAAAAAGATCATTTAAAACTCAAACAAAGCAAATTTATTGTTACGTAAATACATTGAAAATATTACATTTTAAGTTCATGCCGCTGTGTAATGTTTTAACTTTTAATAATTTTCTTTGATAAAAAGATTATAATTAGTGACATCTATCGTAAAGTAGAAATAACGTAGTTGTAAGAAACAAAGTAGATGAGTAATGAAAAATAGCTTGCTTTCCAGAACCTAAAATATAAATTAATAGAAAACAAAAAGTTTTAATTGTAGATATGTGATTATATTAATTTTCATTTGCTAAACCTTTCTTTTTAACTTAGAAGTGTAATTACCGCTATAATATTGTTTTACATTTTCTTTAATAAAAACAATCACAATGTTATACTAGTGACATCTATCGTGAGGTAGAAATAATGTTATCGTATGAAAAAAAGTACATACAAAATAAGCAATGAAAAAAATATTTACCTTCCACAATTTAAAACAGAAAATAATAAAAAACAAAAAAAAATAATCACGCATAATAATTTAAAGTTTAATTTTAAAAACGTTTTTACTTATCAATACAAATATAAAAATACAAAAATAAACTGCAAATTTTATAAAAAAAAAGTTGTTTCATTGATCAATTTTTAGTCCTCGTGCTAAATTATCTTCTTGCTTCTTTTTTGCTTTATAGTCGCTAATTTTATATTCTAAATAATCAATATAGCCGTCTCTGAAAAAAAAATAACATATAATTAATTCTCACGTCCTCAAAATATAATTATACCTATACCACTATAATTAAAAGAGTTAATTGTTTGTTTGTTTGCATTGAGCTATCGATTTTAATAGTACATTACAATATTAGTGCGTTATGATGGTTATAACATGCGAGGCGGAATTTCAGCCCGAGCCGAAGGCGAGGGATTTTTAACACATTTGCGAGGAAACAGAAAAAAAACATTAAATAAACTCAATCTGTGAATGTACACTGTTGCTTTCCCGCCATTTTAACAGCACGCTAGCGCTGCCTACTGACTGGCGCCGCGCGGCGATTAGTTCGAAATTTGAATAGCAACAGCGCGCGAAATGGCAAATAATACTATTATGGAATATATAGATATAGACTGTAACTGAACTATTTGCTTTGGTAACACACGTGTATTTTATGGCCCGCTTTACATATTTAAAACCGGTGGAATTACATCAGCTTTACGAGTAAAGGTGTTAAAAAAGTTATTTCACCTTCGGGAAGCTAACATAATTTTCACGAGCGAAATCGTAGGAAAACCGCTAGTGCGATATTAAAAACGTTTTTGCCTTATGAATCTTAGGGGCCATCCATAAATTACGTTACACGTAAAGAGAGGAGGGAGGGGGTCGACGAAGTGTGTAACAAGGGGGTGGGAGGGTCCTAAATTTTCAAAATTCAACATTTCAAAATCTATTATAATCTAAGTGATAAAACACGAACTTTAAACTATTTACTTTACAAAAAGCTTGCAAAATATGTGACATCACACTAGAGGGGGGGAGTCTTACTAATGTGACCAGCTGTGACTAGGACGGGGGAGGGGCAAAAAAACATGTAACTCGTGTGCGACGACCCCTTATTTTGGTTATTATCCCAAGTAGCACATAAATAATATATTAACTAAAATAAGTACCGATTTATGTCCTAAAGTCATAGTAACATTTTTAATCAGCACTGGTCAAGTTTCGAATCTGTTTAAAGGCATTTATTTTATCTAATAATGCTTAATGCCATATTATGGTTAATAAAAAAAGTATACCAATGTCAAAACTCCTATTTAAGTATTGGGTAATATTAATATAAAGCTGTTATCGTATTTCGGTGATATGAAAAACATTATATATTATATAAGCATTAACGTAATATTATTTAGTGCATTTAGTTGTTATTAGTTATTTTCTAGAAACAAAGGTTTTCTAATGGCCTATGGTTGTATCGATTTAATGCTTATCCTATATACGAGGGTCAAACTGAAAGTTCTTAGAAAATCAAAAACTGATTACATTAGCCAGTTATTAGTTTTATTATATCTTTTCAAAATATTGTCCATTCACGTCAATACACCGCTGCATGCGATGGAACCACTGGGAAAAGCACTTTGCCCACTCGTCCTTAGGGGTCTCTTCAATGGCATCGCGATACGCAGCCACCGCTTCTTCAGCATTCATAAACCGCTTTCCTTTAAGTTTTTCTTTAATTTTTGGAAATAAATAAAAATCACAAGGCGCGAGGTCGGGGCTATACGGCGGGTGACCCAGTAATTCAACGTTTGATGTCGCCAAATAGTCGATCGTTCGCTTGGTGGTGTGCGACGAGGCGTTGTCGTGGTGAAGGAGGATCCTACTGCGAGGTCGTTTCTCTCGAACTTTTTCCAAGACAAGTGGCAAACAATTGGTAGTGTACCATTCTGCAGAAACTGTTTTTTGATCCTCTAACACAATTGTTGCAAAATGACCTATCCTTCCAAAGAACTAGGCCACCATTTTTTTTCCCGCACTTCGATCTCTCTTCACTTTAGTTGGCAACTCCTCGAAAGGAAACACCCACTGAGCAGATTGTCTTTTGGTTTTAGGATCATAACAGTAAATCCAGCTTTCGTCACCTGTTAGTATGTCGAACACAGCATTTGAGTCACCTCCGTTAAATCTTTCAATCATTTTACGACACCAATCCACACGATGGAGTTTTTGAGCCTCAGTCAAATTATGAGGTATCCACCGGGCGCAAAGCTTCCTGACCGCTAAATGTTCGTGGAGGATTTTGTGCACTTGACTCATACCGATGCCTAAGCTTGTCCGAATATGTTGATAGGTCACTCTTTTGTCAGTCTCTATCATACGCCGCACAACACAGATGTTATCTTCAGTCGTCGCCGTAGAAGGCCGTCCCTCACGTAAATCATCAGTGAGATTAGTGCGACCACGTTTAAACTCATTAAACCAGTTGTAAACAGTCGCACGAGATGGGGCTTCATCGTGAAAGGCCAATCGTAGTCTATCATAACTTTCTTGTTGACTTAAATGACATCGAAAGTCATAAAAAATCATTGCACGAAAATTTTCTCGTGTTAAATTCATGATGACGTGACACAGACAATTTTCAATTTGCCGCCAAATCGTAAAACAAATGACAAATGAATGAAATATATACTCAGTAATATTGGCAAAGAGTTATATTTTCAAATTTTAGAATTATTTTTTTATTATATTGTTTATAAGTGGCCAGTTCTAAGAACTTTCAGTTTGACCCTCGTACACATTGAATAAAGAACTAGTAAAACTTTAGCACCGATTTGTTCTTAAAGTATTCTTTAATCAAGCTCAAGCTCCTTTATCTTCTTAATCTATGCTTTTATAAAACATTAGGCTATATTTTGGTCAATATTAAGTTATTTATAGAGATACAAGTAATAAATAGATCGTAATTATTTTTTATGTGAAATTAAAATGTAAAATTATTTTATGTATTGTATTGTAATGGTGGCATTTTATACGCATCGCTGGCGCCATGGACAAAAAACGTTGGGAAAAACAAAGAAAACAGGTGGATATAAAAGAAAACTGTAAAAAAGAGTATTCTAATTTAATGGAAGCTTTTAAAAATCAAAATAAAAATGAAATAATCGTTTGATGATTATAAGCACTATAAGATGCTTTAATTTTACGAGTCGCCATTTGCTTTCTTTTTCCAATTCTTACAAAATATTTAAAGTCAACTGTGTCAGATGAAAAGGGGTAAATAATCATTTATTTTGTGCATAGATGCCTATAAAAGCAATTATATTGTTAAAACAATGCTAAAAAGCCTAAAATTCAACAAAAAAAATTGCTACTAGGTAAAATTTTTTATTATTTTTATTATATTAAAGGAAGTTTGCGAAGGCGCGTGTATTTTACACCATAAACTTGTATATTTTACTCCACAAACTGATGTTTGCAGCTTATTTCACACATAACGAGCTGTTTAAATCAATATTCAAAAATACTTAAAAGACCAGCCAAGAGAACATGTCATGACACTTACACAAAACAATAATTTAAACCGATTATATGTTTTTAAAATCTATTAAATATACTTTTTTTACAAAGGAAATAAAACAGTAAGCATTTTTATATACAGTAAATTAACGTATTATAATTTTGATTTACGCATATCAATTGTAATATAGTCACAAAAAGTTCAATTAGCACTTTAAGGTGCTAATTGAACTTTTTGTAGCTATTAGAATGCTTTTACCCGACTTTATTAATGCTATTATACAAAAGTTGTAGTGCTATTGCAAAGCTTTTATAAAGCTTAAAGTCGTACAAAGGGGGGGGGCCAAATTTTACGTATAAGACTAGTTTAAAAGAAATACGGTTGATATACGATTTTATTATAATGCTTAACGCTTGGACTCGTGCTATTATAAGTTTGATATAATGGTGTTTTGTGCTACTTGGGTAGTGCCGTGTCTGTATCAAACGATTTTATGTGCCATCAAAAACATTAAACATTTCATAATATAACCTATTTAAATCTCTTTGTATGTCAAATGATACTTTTAATAATCAATTCTATATCATCATCATCATCATCAGCCCTTTTACGTCGTCACTGCAGGGGCTCAGGCCTTCCTTATGGATGGTTAAAGAGGATGGGCCATGACCCTCCACGCTGGCCTAATGCGGATTGGAGGGTATTTACGACTGAGAATGCAGCCGGGACCAACGGCTTAACGTGCCTTCCGAAGCACGGAGTAGCTCGAGATTATAATTTCTTGGTCACCCATCCAGTGACCGACCCTTGCGAAAGTTGCTTAACGACAAAGATCGCGGGCCGCGGCGCTTATCCTCTACGCCACTGAGCTACTCGCCACCGAATTCTATATCAGTAAAATTTATATTCCATTTATTATCGCCTTTCTTAAAAGAGCACTATTACCTAATATATAGCGCGGAACACTGTATATCATGTGATTTTTAGCATTAAAGAATGAAGTCTATTAACTCGTTCATTCATTTTTCGATTTATAAAGCGAAACGTCTTAACAAACCTACCTAACTTTTTTACTTAGTAACATATCGTACGTTGAGAACGATAGTGACACGATGCAAAAAATGCGATTTTGAGTAATGAGCGTTTAAAGTTCAAGAAATTGTAATCAGCCGCTAAAAACAACGTGTCGTCACTACGCCACCTAGCAGTTTCTATGCAAGCTACGTTCACTGGGATCTTTGCATTTTAAACTTTATACTTAACAAAGAAAATGTTGCCAAAAGTAAAAAATACGTCGTTTTTGGTTAGTGACATTGTCATTCTCAACGTGCGATATATTATTATGTAATTATACAGTACCCGTGCTACTAATAGTAAATTAACACTAAAATGCATATTAAGTTTTAGTCCAAATTCATATTATTTAGAGCAAACCTTCTACCTTCTAGAAGTATATATTACTCCCGTAGAACCTCGTACTAGGTAAACCTTTGCCAAGTCTCTGTTTAATAATATGAATTTTGACTAATACTAAGTGCAGTCTTAGCAAAAAAATTACTCCAACGCTAAACCTTGCTTATTAGTATCACTGTCTAGGTCTCAAACTAAATCCATTGGAGTAGGTACATTAAAAAATATATATAAAATGCTAGAAGCTAGCGCCATCTGACACTGAAAATGTTTAACATCTTCATACTTACCCATTCATATCGGTATTTTTCAAAGCGAGTTCCAAAACTTGTTCTATTTGTGTATCTGAATAAACAGGATGATTCTTGTCTTTCTCGCCTGAAAATGTTACAACTTTTTATTTTCAACCATTGACACAGTAGCGCTTGCTCGTGAATTTTGCGAAAAACTTTTGACTTATTTATCAAACCGTGACGTAGCCATAGTATTAGTTAAAACGTTAATAATTTCATTCACATTCAATTTGCTCCAAATGATGTGACGTAAATAATAATAAAACGCAGTATTATTGTAAAATGACAATGTGTAGACAAACAATGTACACAGAACAACACATGCCAAATATAAACAGCCAAACTGCAATGGAGTTTTGAAGAAAAAATTGACCGTTTATTGTATCGCGATGAGTTGTTAAATGTACAGTCGAAAAAATTTGAGAGTACTTACCCCGTTATAAATAGGGTGTTGAAGTACTAGATGACCACTCAACACAAATCACACAAAACAGACATATAAATACCTAGGTATAAGGAATTTATATAAAACGGTTTCTAGATATACTATAGCATGCTGGAGGTAAGCTAATAAAAATGTAAAGACATTGATATAGCCTATTTTAAAATTTAAGTTAAAAAACATAATCCTTTGGGAGTGGTAAATTAAAAAACTGTTTTTTTTCTCTCAACGGTTTTGTAAAATGTAAGAAATTAATGTAAATAACGCCATCTATTGTCTAGTTTTCGTACGAATACTGACAACTTGTGTTAAACTGATTTTCTAGTGGGCAAAAGCTGAAATAATGAGACGTGTTCGTGCAGTTTTAGTAAGTGTTGGTGCTATTCAATGCTAGAGGGCATTGCTAAGGCACAAGCCATTTTTCATGATAATCCTCTTATAGGAGAATGTTACTTTTACATATTATAGGCATAGTCTATGCTGTCTTTGTCTATCACATGCAATGTCTAGAAAAGTTATTACATAATGTTAGTGTCACCATGTATCACTTTCGGTTTCACTGTCGCTTTTTGTATATACGGTGTTGGTATTGGTAGGAAGGTAATTTTCTTGGACCCTTATTTCTTATATAATTATCAGGCGAAAAAAACAAAATCTATCAGACAGTTCCGCCAACATGAGGTAGAGAATTATTGCTTTGTGGATTACTGAATCATCAACATTTAAGAGTTCGTCTCATGAAATTAGTCTCTCCTTATTACAAAGAAATAAGAGTTATGCCGTGGGACTTCTGTCGTATGACAGAGTATATCTATATTTGAATCAACTACGGATACATCCTATTTATACCGATACCGATATATCGGCGATGTTGCGAGTTTTCCGATATATCGGAATCGGCGATTATTTTATTGATACATTTCAATACCTTTTAGATTTTAGGTATAATATTCTTTCTTTGGCTTGCGCTGTTCATATACCCATTTCTTACAGTATTTTTTTTTTTGTTTTATGCTTTACCAACTTTATTGAATCTGCTGACTGTATCGGTGTCGGTTCGTATCATTGCATTCGTAAAATAAATATTCCTTGTTGGGCACTGTTAGTAGAGCGACCGCCTCGTTTTAAGAATAATGACTAAAAACCTAACTCCTCTATTTTAGTGATGTTATAGAGGTACCTTGTCGTTACTGCTTTGACATGTACTTTAATAACGTCGAACGAATGAATATGAATGATTAATGTGAATTTGACAGCAGTGTTGCCAACTAATTTATCCTAAATTTATCTACCAGAAGACATGTCAAAGTATTAAACAAAAACAAAATATCATTATAGTATGTCGCTAAGATGTTGTATCCTATAGCTAGAAGAGTTAGGCGTTTCTTACATTTCACCATTGTACTATTTATCAGCAGGTAGATTATGTAAAAAAACTGAACCCGTATTCAAATTCACTCCTGTGTCCGAATTTACGTGATTCAGTGAAGAAATTCTGTTGATTCCATTTCTTGTATTAAAATACAAAACAAAATTGACACGTGTCTCAGACATTCTATTCCTATGTCATTTCGAAACTCGCTTCACTCACGCCACGAAACGTTATATTACGAAGTATTTAAAAAAAAAGAAAGCACTAAAGAAGCACCTCCACTAGATGGCGACTCTAGCAAAAGTTGATTGTTGCAGGAAACGAATGGACCAAAAACAGACATTTCTGTTCCTATTAAGAGCCATATGACAAATTTTCACTCTGTGAGATTAGGTATTTTGAAGCGTTCCGAGTTCTCGACAACTTGTTCAAGGTCACGAGTCCATTATACTGTGTTGTTCAAGCTATTTTGATACTTTTCCCAATTTTTGTATTTATTTTAGTATTTCTATGGTGAGATTCATTATCGATTCCCGAATATTTTAACACGACTGCTCTCGAAAAGGAGTCTATTGTATTGAGAATTAATGTATGTATGTGAGTTTTTTTATTGCACCATAACTTTTGAAAGATATAACGAATATGAATGTATAGGGTATCATTAGAAACATCATCCTAAGTTACCACAAAATACATAGAGTAATAGTGAAACTAGCTTTATTTATTAATATTAAATAGGTATGGGGACACCATTTAAAAAAGTATGTTTTTTTATAATCATAACTTTATGGGTATCAAATTAAAGGTCCATTAAAAATATATAATCTCTATACAAAATTAGCTGCTCACTAAAAGGAATAAAAGTAAATAATTATTTAAAAATTAAAAACACTGCTAAGATCGGGCAAAAATTAAAAGAAACAAGTTTAGCCAAATTATAGGCTATAAATATAAATAGCGATGATAATATATCTATAAAAATATAAATATTAATTAAAAAATATTCGTGCCATATTCTTCGTCGACGATTTCGAAATATTTTCGTCGTCAATAGGAAACATGCATTCCGAAACAGGGACTGTTTCCTGTTTTGAAAAGTAGTAAATTAGAATTATATTAAACTAGTTGTGCCCGCGACTTTATGCGAATGGAAAGTAACCTAAGGTTCTTTTCTCATGGCTAGATGCGATGTTATTCGATATCGATGAACAATATCACACGAATCGCATGCACTTATAAAATGTATGGAAAAACTCATGTGTTTGCTCTTGAGATTGTACTATCTGTTAATATCGGTCACAAATCTCATGGTCTGCGGTATCACTTCAAATTTATGAAGGCGGTAGAACGCTCGATCTACTTTTGATTTTCTGTTCAATAATATCGAGGAACGATTCATTTTATAGTATTCTACTACTCAAGCCCTTTTATTTGATATCAGTATTGAGGGAGTCATGACAATATATAGGTAATCCAACATTTTGTGGCGGCGGCCATCTTGTATATAAAATATTGTCATAGTGTTCAATGAGTAGCTCGGTGGCGTAGTGGATAAGCGCCGCGGCCCGCGATCGTAGTCGTTAAGCAACTTTCGCAAGGGTCGGTCACGGGATGGGTGACCAAAAAATTATTATCTCGAGCTACTCCGTGCTTCGGAAGGCACGTTAAGCCGTTGGTCCCGGCTGCATTTGCAGTCGTTAATACCCTCCAATCCGCATTGGGCCAGCGTGGAGGGTCATGGCCCATCCTCCTTAACCATCCATAAGGAAGGCCTGAGCCCCTGCAGTAAGGACGTAAAAGGGCTGGTGGTGTTCAGTGTTCTACTACTCAAGCCCTTATATTTGAAATCCGTATTGAGGGGGTCGTGACAAAAAATGTAGATAATCCAACATTTTGTGGCGGCGGCCATCTTGTATATAAAATTTTGTCATAGTAAACAGTATTCTACTACTCAAGCCCTTTTATTTGATGTCCGTATTGAGGGAGTCGTGAGAAATATGTAGGTAATCCAACATTTTTGGTGGCGGCCATCTTGGATTTGAAATTTGTCATAGTGTTCAGTATTCTACTACTCAAGCCCTCTTATTTGATACCCATATTGATGGAATGGTGATAAAATATGTAATCCGACATTTTGTGGCGGCGGCCATCTTGGATCGATTTTCATCAAAGTGAAGAACACTCCCGACTAATACACCTTTCAAACAAAATCAAAATCGGTTCATCCGTTCGGGAACTATGATGCCACAAAAAGACACAAACACACCACACACACACACAGACATGTCAAACTTATAACACCGCGTCGTTTTTGCGTCGGGGATTAAAAATATATTGAATTTAGAAAAAGTTGTTTGATATGCGGATCTCCGATAAATTTGATATCGGTCGAATTGCATCGAGCCATAAGTCTAAGTTAATCCTCATTACGTAAGTCAACTTCTAGTGAAAGTCTCTTCAAAATCGGCCAAGCCGTTTCAGAGATTAGCCAGAACTAACAGACAGACAGATAAAGATATATTATTTTTGTATATGTACCATGTATACACACAAATGTATTTAGTGAAAAGCGGTTATTTTAATATTACAAATATACACTCCAATTTTTATGTACTAGTATAAGTGTATTGAGAGAATAAGTACCTTGCTTTATTTGCATTTTTTAATATAAATATATATATTTAAACTTTCTTATACAAATATACCTAGGGGTCTTTCGACCTATGCTTAAAATAACAAATGTGTATTAGAAATAATTCAACAAGCTATATAAATTCCATATAAATCGAACTTCGTGACCAAAGTTGGAAGTCCCACTATACTGCTCTATTTACGCTCGCTCGAACGTATCTAGATCGAAAAATGGCGCAAAGTAATGCGACATAAGTCTAACGTTGAGGAGCGCTCGCGCGGTACTGAGCTCAGACGGCCGCTGCATCTTATTTTGTAGTGATTTTGCGTTTACATTTATCGTATTTATTGAAATAATATAATAAATTTATGCTTTAAAATTATAATAACTTTGTTCCTTATGAAATAGTCATTAATCTGGGCATAAATTTTGTTAAATAATATTGTTGTGGCTAAGAGAAATTCAAAGTTAACTTCAAGCAATTTTTGATGTTTTTTGGTTTGTAATATGATTGTTTTTCTATATTTAATCAGTGCTATTTCAAAATTTCGACGCTACTGTTTACTTTACGACTATATAAGAGATATCATTCTATTTCTTTTATTTCGTTTGTTAAGAACAGTAGCTCAATCCAGGACTTCAAAAAAGTGTCTTTGCGCATTTTATGAAAATCTTTCTCTGGTATTTTGGGTTTAATTAAAAAGATGAGCAAAATTTCCAAAAAGTTGAGCCACTAATTTCTATACCAAGAGTTATTCTTCACTATTCAACAAGTCAAAATTGTTAATTTATTTTTGTTTCCGAGAAAAATCACGCAGAAATCACAGTTGAGATGTAATATGGGTCTTAACTAACATATTAAAAAACTGAAATTTGAAACGTTCGAAACTTAGATATCAATACAAATACGAAAAATTACAAATAGAATATGAGTTTTGAAAACTAATTTACTTTTAAACATGAAAGAAAACCGTAAAGGTTGTCATGGAGAAATCAAGAACGTAACTTGGTGACATCTAGTTTGATTACTAGAACTATTATTTTTTTTATACTTCCTCATTCAAGATTCAGCGGATGCGGGTTTTCAAAGTGAATTGGGACACCTGTGTGAATTCGAATTCGGGTTTGGATTTTTACTGAATCGCAAGGCTGAAGTGCAATGTTTCTCACACATCAATGGTGACAGATATTATAACAATATTAAAATTCAGGTAGATAGTTCAATGACAAAATGCGGGTATATAGTTGAGATTCTTTTGAGATGCTGTTATAACGTAAACATTTGTAGAATTGATATGCAGTCTAGCTTTATTCAATATAAAGATTTATTCATAAGAAATACCATCTTCAATAAGAAACTCAATCTATATATATCTATATATTAATACGTGAAGCAAAAACTTTGGACCCCTTTTTACGAAAATTACGAGGACGGAGGAGTATGAAATTTGGAACACTTATAGTTTATATGTAGGAGAAGTGAAAATGGCTAATATTTTTCAATAATAATGCTTATTAAGTACATTAAATTGATAAATAAAGACACACAAACAAGTATTCGCTGCACGCTTACATGTACTCTGTGGTCAAATTGTTTCTTTTGACATGGAGTTTGTATCTTTTGAATATTGGCTTCGCGCGGTTTGTGCATTGAGCCAGTGTCAAGTTGTATATGATTACCATAGACATCTATTGATATATGTTTGTGATGTTTACTGTAGTTTTACTGAATGTCAAAAGATTTCCATTTTCAGTAATAACTTCTAATTGAAATTTATTTTGGACGAATTTCGAGCACTGGGCGACCACTAGTAAAAATGAATCGCCATAATCTTTGTACATGCATAACTTCGAAACGAATGCACCAAATTGTTTTTTTTTTTGTGTCCCGTATTGTCGGCACAAGGTTTGTAGGATATAAGAAAATTTATAAAAAGATATAATTTATAAAAAAACGGGTATGCGGCAGTCCGAAATTCGCCGGGTCAGTTAGTATTCAATAATTATTTAAATTATGACTTTTTTTTCAATAATTATTTCAATTATGCATTTTACTCCTTTA